GACATTGTTAAAACAAAAAAAGGACTGTTCTATATTGTGATAACAAATAAGTAATTGCAATTGCCAAGAATCCAGTCAGCCATGAAAGATCAAAGCATATTTCCATCAAGTATCATTTTGTCTGAGAAGCACAAGAGAAAGGCGAAATTCAGTTGCATTATTGTCAGACAGGAGAACACCTTGCTGACATCTTCACCAAAGCACTTTCTAGAGAAAAAATTTGCTATCTTCGAGAACACATTGGAGTTATCAAGCAAATGCATTAAGGGGGAGTGTTGGAATTAATGCATCAATGTTTAGTCTTCCAAAATTGTCTCTTAGTTTTTCAATAAGTCTTTTTAGAATTTCGTAGTACATGTATCTAGTAAATTGTGATACATGTATTTAGTTATTTTTTCAAGACTTTTTGTTTTCTATTTTGAGTAGTATAGATAGTGATGTAGTTGATGATTGTAATCATCTCAAGTGGCCTTAAGTAGCCTATAATAATTTTGAGCATTTTCTAAAGATATTATTTTTCCTTTCATATTTCCTACAGAAGCATCGTTTTAAACATATTTAAAAGATTAATCTCTAGTCTAAGTCATGGCATTTCCGGAGTGTTACATATTGTCTTTGGTATGCTCATGGTTATGCCAACAAGGTTAGATTGGGGTCACTCGTGATCCTAGGTCCCGTGTCCCCGTCCAAGGCATAGCTCGGGGCGTGACACGGTTGGTGCAAGGTAAATTTTTTTTAAAATGATACAATTTGAGGGGAGGGGAAGAGGCAAGACAACGTAAAAATTATTATAACTAAGGGACGGAAATTACGTCAATCAAGACAATAAATATTGATTTATCTGATAAGATATTAAGATAATAAATAGACTTACAAACTAAGATTAGGATATAAATAAGCATCTTTCACTAGAGAATACAAGAGTGAAACCTCTAGGCGACACTTAGATTACCATGATCCAAGCTTTCTCCACTGCTCGTGGCATTAGGTACCCCCACCTAAGGTTTCACTTTTCTGTCCTAAAGCGAAAGATAATCATATCATTATCTAGTTTGTAAATTTATTTATCATGTCAACTGATATTACTTAAGAGATAAAAAAAATCTATCGCCTCAACTTTACCAATTAATGAAATATTTTCTCAAGAGTCGATTCTCTTGCAATTCAAAATATAATTAGTCAACTATTTGTAGATCTTGATTGTCTTGCAATTCATAATTTAATTAGTCATGTAATTCTGGTAATTTGTTCTCCTATATTTTTAAAAAGTTGAATTTGATTGCATTTATATTGCATGATTTATTTTTATTGATATTTTCTACAATAATTATATTTTAATTAAGATACAAATTATTTTTTAATTTTTTGATGTAGATGTTTTATTAAATTTCATTTGATGAACTCTTTCTGCTCGAGTTCTCCTATTAATATTGTTTAAGTCATTTAGTAAGTATCTGTTAAATTAGTTATAACTGAATTTGAAACTAGTTTATGGACTATATTAAGTCTCCATATATGTTTATTCAACTTGTATACTTGATTTCAAGTATAAAATAACTTTTATATCCTTTCTTCTTTCGAAAATCATCTTTATGAACTTTAGATTTTTTCCTAAATCTTACACGGAATAAGGAACTTGTTTTTTCACTCGCCTGCGTTCTCTATGTTTTAGTAATCCACGAAGTCAATTCTTGTGACAGTATGACTTTTGTCAATAAAGTATGATAAACATATTGTATACAATGTTAATGTCACTTCAGTTAAGCTACTTCTATCTACTGTTGATTATCACATAAGATTTTTTTTTAAAAAAAATGAATTTTAACTTATTGCAAAGGAAATGTAGATCCATTAAAACAATTCATTCTTTTAAACAAATAGAGTGACTTTCATTATTTCTTGTTTTTCTTATAAGTAGAATTTTGGTTATGCTTTTGCTCTTTATTTTAATGATTAGTGTTTTCCAATATTTCAAGATATTTGTGGCTTCAGTCTTATGAGAAGGATGAAAACCATTGTTTCACAGCTAAAATAACTTTTTTTCTTAAGTACATATCATAATTTATGAGCTCAGAAAGGGGGATAGAGTTGTGTGCATAAAGTAGGGGTTGTGAATGTTCAATATAGTATAATATACTTATCAGTATTAGCCTCTTGATGATTATCTCAGTGTAGATCAAACTGATAAATTATTATTTTCTAGCTTATAAACTACGGCCCTTGCAACTTTCAATTAGATGTTTGAAATTCATAATTTGTGTCATTCAAAAAATTACATTAGACTTTCTTTTGTGTTTTCCACAGATCTTCCACGGAATGATAACATCTTTTATATAGGTGGATGAATTTTAGTTAAAGTTATATTTCATATTCTTACCGAATGTATGTGATTGTATGTCTTCTTCTTGACTTTGCGTACTTTACTTTTAGGTCTTTTTTCCCTAACTGTATGGGAAGAAAAAGGAAAAAATCACTCATAATCACTTATAAAGTATTTTTCATCATATTGATTTACTAGTAAACTTACCCTCAGCTTGTGTGAAAATTTAACATCCCAAAATTTATAAAATAATATTTAAAAAACGTTTCATTCATCAAAGCTAAAACGCTATATTATTTTACATATAAGATTATGTAATAACAAATACTCATAATTTTATAATTTGTTATTTTGCTTCTAGGAAGTGTTACTATTTGACATTTGTGAGGAATACAATGAACATCAACCTAAGATATTAAATTTTCTAGTAAAAAAAAATCATTTGTGAAGGGATACATTTATTTTAAAAGTATAAAAAAAGTGAACAAATATTCTAATTTTAATGTGTAGAAAGTTCGGCCCTAGTTTTTGCTTTACATGAATCATTTTAAGGTTCTGCAGTTAAATATGTCATAAGAAACGATTGAAATGGAAAATTAAAGGACGAATGTATCATATTGGACAACAATTCAACTTATCATATATACTTGAAAGAGAAAAATATTACACTAAACTATTTTGTTTATTTTGGTGTTTTTTTGTAAAAATCAGCATAGTAGAGTGATGAAGTTCAGTTTGAAACTACACTGATATTCCAATCGCAGTGCTGATAACATCTATTACTTCAAGAAAAGTATTTACAACTTGCAATAAACTTGAGAATCAATCTCATACCTTATATTGAATATGAAAAATTAATTTATTGTGTAGTTATTTATGTCATTTGGATTAAAAAGGCTCAAGTCTAGTCATATTTCTCTATAGATCGTTCGACACAACATACTTGAAGCCATGTCAAAAGTTTATCAATCTTGTCTTCTTTTTCTGGATCACTTCGCACAACAAGGTACAAGAATATTTTTAAAGTCTTTATGTTCTAACAATGGCATATAATATTTCAATTCTTTACTCAAGAGATGGTATTATAGATCTTTAAGGAATTTTATATCGAAAAATGGTCTAAAATACCCCTGAATTATCAGAAATGGTACAAAACTACCGTTCCTCCACCTATTGACTTCAAAATACCCTTCTCATCCACCAATTGACTCTAAAATACCCTTGTCATCCACCTTTGGGTTCAAAATTGACCACTTATTTCATGATTATAAATTGAAACTATTTAAATATTTTTTTAATACATGATTCTCAACTATTTGTTATAATTTAACTTAGGGAAAATGCACAAGTACCCCCTTAACCTATGCCCAAATTCCAAGAGACACACTTATACTATACTAAGGTCCTATTACCCCCTGAACTTATTTTATATGTAATTTTCTACCCCTTTTCATCCTACGTGGCACTAGCTTGAAAAAAATATCAACCAGCATTGGGCCCACAAGATAGTGCCACGTAGACCCAAAAGGGGTAGAAAATTATTAATAAAATAAGTTCAGGGGGTAATAGGACCTTAGTATAGTATAAGTGTGTCTCTAAGATTTCGGGTATAGGTTGAGGGGGTACTTGTGCATTTTTCCTTTAACTTATTAATATACTTTATAAATCAATCGACTACTCACCCATTACTAATTAAATCACACTCGATTAATAAACCCGCCCCATTACTAATTCAACAATAGAAAAGCTACTTCTAATGAGTGTTTCTAAAAATTTGAGGCGAAAATGTCTATAGAAGTAGATTATCATACATTCAAGTCCTCAATCAAAACATATTATAATTCAAGTTTCTAATTAAAAATTGTGGATAAATTTAAAAGTCTAACTATGTTCATCGTAATATTCATTCGTCTCAATTATGTGATATTACTTAATTGATAATTTTTTTTAAAAATAATATATTTAAGTTTTAATTTTAAAATAAATAACAAATATTTATAAAATTATATTAAAAAAAGTGCATGAATTTATTCAACATGTACTACTTCTTTACCTTTAATCATAATATTTTAATTCAAAGTTGAAAGAGAATCATATTGAAAGTGTCTTCCTAAATAAGTGGCTCAACCTTAATTTAATTGTAGTTTTAATTCGGACTCGAATAATTTTGAATGTCATTTTTAGAAATGTGTAACTTCATCGTGTTTTAGTAGTGTTTAGGGTGATTTTGATTTAGAATTAGTGTACAAATTGGGTGGGGTTTAATTAGTAATGGATGGATAGTGGGTTGGTTTAGAAATGATGTTAGTAGATTAAATTATATCCAATAGTTGAGCGCCAAGTATTTAAAAAAATATTAAATGGTTTAAATTTGAAACCATTAAATAAGCGAACAATATTTTGAACCATAAGATGGATGACAAGTGTATTTTGGAGCCAATAGATGGGTGAAAAGGGTATTTTGGAGCCAATAGGTGGATGGAGGGTAGTTTTACACCATTTCCAATACTTCTAGGGTATTTTAGGTCATTTTCCGATTTTCACAACTTGCCTAAATATTCAATTAATGTGCGTTATTTATTCCATACTAACAAATACTTATACAACAACAACAAAGTCTAAAGCATATAATTAAATACAATAATTAATAACATAAGCATAAATTAATGACTACAGAAAATATACCAGGATCTATGATGATAGCATGAAAAATAAAGGAAAAAACTGATCTCACTGAATGTACAATGTCTCCTTAAGGAAACTATTACCCTCTAGTACCCGAGGTTTAAAGGAATAAATCCTATTAGGATAGAACGATTCTATTCACTTGTCACGGCACGAGCCTACACCCTGGGCGTGACCGACGCTCAATGACCATTGATGTCCTTGAGCGTACCCTTGTCTTGGCTAAGTTAACTCAGTGGAAGACAATTATCAATAACTATAATGATAAAAGCTTAATTGAACTAATAAAACATACTAAATGTGAACGTTGTAGACATTTAAAACAATTCAACTGGCCAAAAGTGGCAACCCAAGTCTTATAAACTACAGGAGATGAACTCAATGACTAACATGTGATTGTTTATCTAAGAATCCTCTAAAACTGATATGAATGTTGGGCCAGACCCCACAACATCCTAATAAAAAAATACTGAAAAAAATCGATACAAGGAGTCATCCGTAACGCTAGGAGATTCACCAACTTACTCTGGAGTGATAAACTGGATCAACGGTGCGCCAGATGATGATCCTGGTTACCTTCGTCTGCATCATGATACGATGAGCATTAGTATATTGAAGTATGAGCATGTGAGTTGGAATGCTAAAACAACTTAAGCTTGAAAAGAGTAAGAAGGAATACTTACATTGGATTTGCTCAACTCATAAATAACATAACTCAATATAACAGACTCATTTCTATATAAATCAATTAACAGGAAAGTGATATATGAAGAAAATTTATTTGAAAACATGTTAGAAACCGTAAATATATACAAAGAACAATTAGTTTTGAGTTGTATGTATAAATACAAATAAACTGATGTATATATAAATACAAATAACTTCTGTGGGATTTTCTCTAACCAACAATCATCACATAAGAGCTATAGTGATGATACATCGATCTACCTTATGTTGCTAGCGCATCCTATACTCGGCCAAAGGTATAAGACATGAACTGCCTAATGGATCCACTAGTCTACTGTGAAAGCTAAAAAGTATCACCCCTTTCTACCCATAGTGGCTATATGCAGGAGGGTTGTGAGTTGTCTGAAATCTCCCCCATATCGGTGCTCAATACTACTCCCAAAATATACTGACTCTTATGTTTTAAAAACATACTTAAGTAGTGACTTGATATTAATGCTAAAAAACTTAACTCAACGGCTATCATGAAAATCTCAGTTTCCCTGCTTGCTTCATTTAGAGAGCTATTATGGAAATATCAGTTTCCCTTCTTTTTAAATGTAAAAACATTTGATAATCCTTTTGGAATACTTAGTCCCCGTATATTGCTTTGAAGAAATACTTCACTTTACTATGAAGTAAACTCAAACTTAAGTCTTAAAACGACATTTAAAATGTTTTTGAAAGACATATGAGACTTGAAATGAACTTCTTCTTCTTATCTTTACTCTTTACTCAACAAGATCTTTAAGTCCTAAAACAAGTTTAAAAGTATTTGTAAAAGACTTTTTCAAAGGACTCTATGAACTTTCTAGACTTGGCTCTAAACTTCCCTTGAATTTAAAGTTATGCATTCAAGGTTTTAATTCATGTTTTCGGATGATTTCTATATAACTAGAAGTCATTTAGAGTAGTAAGAATAATTAGGAAGTGTCAAAACACTTTAGAAAGACTTATTCAGATTGAATAACGATAACAGGGTGAAAAACATCGATTCGAGCGCGTTCGAAGTGCGCCTTGCTAGCCCTTCATGACTGAGGCACCAAAATGGTGCACTGCAAGCGCCGCCCCAGGCCTTCACGCACAGATGGGGCGCGCCACACCTGCCTCCCCCAAGTGATGCCTTGCAAATTTACATCTAATTTTTCTAACCTTAAATCATTTCAATCTGGTTCCGTCTCTCAAATCACATAGATTTCAGGTACCCACAGCCTATATACAAGGAAATAAATTCACGAACAACACTTAGAACATAAAAAAAAACTCCTAAATCTCAAATCATGTTAAAAATTTAAAGCAATTCAGGAATCAACATTCAAGAACATTCAATTTAGGAAACCACATTCAAGAACATTCAAAATTCAATCTGTTCGGAATTAAAACACGCTAAATCAAATAGGCTTGGCACGTGGGTGAACGAACCCAATGTTGAGATAGACCCATATACCTTTTTAGGGATCACCTCTGATGAAATCCACAAGTTAATTCAACGATCTTGGTGAATCTTTCCCTCTTTCTTCTTCTCTTCTCCTTTCTCCTTAGCGCTAGTGGGAAAATTCCCAACTTCTAAAACTGACTAAATTCAGTCTTGACCCTTATTTAACTCCTAAAAACGAATTAAATTAAGGAAAATTACCTATATATACACCTTTTTTCCTATTATTTTCATTATTCCCTACCATTTAATTTTTTTTCAAAATCCCTTATTTTGATCACAACACAAAATTTCTGGATACATAATTCCCACTCCCCATACCCATGTTTATCACTTCCTAATTTCACTCCACCAATCTCTCTGATTTTTATTCTGATGATCTTGTCAATTAATTTCTCCATTATGCTTATCATTTCATCCTAATTTGAATCTCAAAAGGTTTATCTCTCCAAAAGATTAATTTTAAATTGTTTGATCTTCTTAGCTTTGTTTTTTTTCTTTCATTTTCTTCTGCATCCGTTCTTTTAATGTATCATTGGTACTTATTTTTCATCTATAAATTTTTGATATATATGGATTCTTTTAGTAATGAGATTGCTAAATATGTTGAAAATTATATTTAATATTTAATCACTACAATGTTTATCTTAAACATGTATCATCTTTATAACTTAATTCTTTTTTCTTTTGATACATTAATAACTACACTTTATTATAGTTTACACATAACATTTTGCGATCACTCTATATCAGATACATTATTATCAAACATAAAATCATACATGATATAAATAATGTATTTGAAACATAATAGCTTGTACCAAATTCTTAAAATTTTATATAATTTTACCATGTGAACAAATTATTTCCAATTAGAAATATAGAAAAAATTAAAAATTTTAACATTTCAATTTATTGTAGCAGAAATTAATAAGCTAACAATACTTTGTAATGTATATATTCGTTGTTATGTTGTAATTTTAATATCTTTAGAAAAATCACTTTTTGAATTGTGTTAAGTATAAAAACATTTTAAGAAAATATATAGAAAAACTCGACACTTAATTTTAAAGAAATTGAAGAAACTTCATTTAAAAATATTTTAACAGATAAATCTTTTAAAATTTAGAGAAAATAGGTAAGAAGTTCTTATTTGTACTTTAACAAGGTACTAACACTTAAAGTAGCTGCTAACACGTGGTTATCCAATGACTTAGGTTAAATATATTTTGACTATTTTTTAGAAAATGATTAATTTGAGAAAATAATTATACAAATAATAATTTTTAATTTGTAAGAAAAGAGGATATTAATTGAAATATTTGAATTAAATTTTAGATTTTTTTACGAAATTAAGTTCATTAAAATTTATTTAATTATTTTTTAAAATAATAACTTGAACCAATTTTAGTTAATTAAAGTATGAAAACCATGTAAATTAATTGTAAAATAAATAAAAAAATTGACTAAAGATTTTAAAATAAAGTACACAACTTGATAAAAGATTTTACTAACATACAGAATATAATTCATCTTTTGGGAGATTAATAATTCTAAAGTTAGAGTTAATAAAAAAAATAATAAATAATCACAATTAAGAGCAAGGAGGAGAAGTTGAATTTTGGGCCCCTTTTTTGGGCAAATTTCGCTAGAATTTTTTGGTTTTAACCCAATTCCTGTTTTTGTATGCACTTATTGTATATCAGTATATATCGAATTTTTATAGCCCATTTTTCTACTATCCAAGACCTGTTTCAGTTTCCAATTTTTTCGGACATTGAGGAGGCTGACTCAAAGGAGATGTATTTGACTAAGGAGCCCAACAAGACATAGTGAGAGACTTGGGGAGCCCATTAATGAACTCAACATGACATGTATACAAAGGAAAAGAGTAATGAATTAGTATCAAGTAACAACTCAAAATCATGAAACACAATGACTAAAAATATTTGGTAACTTCATAGAAACATGGTCTAAGTAACGAAAAATTAATGCTTAAATAAAGGATCATTTTAAGACAAAACACAAAAGAAACCCATGAAGGACTAAGACTTGTTAGATCTTGATCACTTACACAAATTATAGTAGGCAACACATTAGAGGGGAAATCATAATACGACAATCTCAAGGAGGGCACCAAACTCCTAGAATTAAGACATTTTCCTAAAAAAAAAGAAGAAGATATTAATATATACTTGACCATCTCATGCCACAATTACTAAATATATTAACTGAAGATATCATAATATTTTCTTGGTCAACTTTTATCATTAGTAGATCCGTTATTTTTTTTAGAGTTGAACATCATCAGGCTGTGATCAAAGTGACAAAGAATCACAAAAGCTTATATTAAACATTGTTAGGAATAAATCTAAACCAAGAAACTGGAGCAGCAGAGACTTAGACTGATAAGTTGTTATCGTATATTTTCACAACAAATGACAAGACATTAACATAGATTTTAACAAATAAGAACTAGTGTATAGATTTGTTATTTAGTCAAAGCAAGCAGGGGTCAATAAAAAGGGCCACAATGTAACAACGGAAATATCTCTAGGTAAACTCAAAAAACACACAACATGGAAACAAAAGAAGATAATATATTTGAAACAGGTTCAAGCAGTAAACTAGCACAATAAAAATAGGGTAAAATCATATTACTGGAAAAACAAAACTAAGGCTAAATTTGACCAAATATGTATATATTTTACCTTTTCGAGGGCAGCGAAACTAAGACAACGAACTTGACCGTGAAGACTTAGTGACCTTAACATGAGCTAGATAAGAGAAAAATAGCTCGCGGTTTTTCGTCCTCTCGTTTTTTTTTTTAAAAAACTTCTATTTATTATGTTGTAAAAATCTCTTGTATCCAACTTCTCCCCTCTCCACTCTTAACACTTGTTACTGTTATTTTTTTTTAGTTTTTGCAACTCTATTTTTGTTATCCAACTCTTTTTCCCCCTATTTTTTTTCCAGTCCCCAATCTTTTTCAAAATAGCATGAATACCATTATTTATAGAAAAAACAAAGGATTGAATTCAAATAGTCGTTTTAGAGGGAGATGGAAGAGAAAATAATGAGAGAAAAACATACCCCTAAAAGTCCGGATTCGATATGATATCTTTCGATTCAGATTAAATTATGGTGATATTTATCTAACCTTCAGTCAACAATTTGGGCTAGTGGTTTGTAGTGCAGTTGGATGAAAAAATTATGGTTCTTAGAGTTGACTTTTGCATTTTGGAGGAAGAAGAAAGGAGAGATAGCTTATGTAAGAGTTGGAAAAAGGAAGAGAGAGACAGAGAGAGAGAGAGAGAGAGAGAGAGAGCGTGAGAGAGTATATAAATTAAAAAGATGGTCTATTTTATTCAAAAATTGGTCATTTAGTTGTTAATTTGACCAACGAAATGACCAATTTGAGTTAGGTATAATCTATTTGAGTCAATTCACTAAATCGGACAAATCTAAAATAAGATGAATAATTATCTATTAAATTTTTGAGCTTCTTAATTTAAAAAAGGAAAATGATTAGTAAAATTTATATATATATATATATATATATATATATATATATATATATAAATATTTTAAAGAGGATTATTTCGAATTGTTTGAAATTAAAGATGCTCGATAGTTAACTTGAATTGCATATGGTCAAAATTGGGTGTCAACAATGGCCCCCTTCTTTGGGTAGGGTCAATGAAAGAGAACCTGGGCAAAGAAGATTGACGAATCCAATTTTGACTCACTTTCATCTATCTAAAGGAAAGTCTTGATATGGATTTTTGAGGAATTATGGTCGAACCCTAATATAGAGTTTCCTACATATCTCAAGTTATATGAGAATTCTGGCTACTTATATTTTGATACGCTTGATTTGATACATGTTTATGGAAAAATTGAAGGTTATCTTAATATCAAATTATGAAGAGACAAGAATGCTTGGGAATAAAATTTACGAGAGAATGTAGGAATACAACCGAGTTTTCAACGCTGAGCCCACCTACATATCCTTCGACTAAAAATATCAGTCTATTTGCAGTTCAACATGATTGGTGGAAAATTAAATCTATTATGCAAGATATTCCTTGGTTCTAGAGGAGTGACAAATAGATCAAGTACGAAAAAGAGGCTTGCAACCTCTTAGCCATGAATCCGGGCCCTTAATACTTTTTCATATTTGTTGAATATGATGATCTCTGGATATACTTGCAAACATATATCAACAAAAAATTTATTAGTTTTAAATGAACTAATATGTGTTGACTTCTTTGATTGTTTTATCTTCCTCTTGCTATCTTTGGTTGATTGCTTCTAGCTTCCCGGTTCTTCGTAAACATAAGATATATCTATATTTTGTACAAAATATTTGATAAATGTCTAAAATTTTAGGAATACTAGATTTCAGAAAAGTAATTTGATGAGGGTCACTGCCAAATGTCATGTCATATTAAAGCTTAAGTGAACACATCAGTTCAAGTTTCGATATATTCAAAAAAGTACTTAAAAGCTGGGGAAATATGAAGTTTGACTTTGAGATCACGCTGAAAATTACGTGTTGTTAACTCTGAACTTTTGACATTACTTGATAGTACTTTTGAGATATTCTCAAAAACAATTTCCCAAATGAAATTTTCTGTCATTTCTCAAGTCTTTGGTAGGAAGATTTGCGGAATTTTTGAGATCTTCTCAAAAATTCTTCCCTAGTTGCCTTTTCCTAATGCATGATCAATCCTGTCTTGTTGATGAATGATCTTTAGAATTTTTGAGCTCTTCTCAAAAATTCTATCCTAGTTTCCATTATAAAGAGAAATTAAATTTTTATGGGGTGTATGACCGAGCCATTGTGGCGCCTACGTATCCCGTTGAGCCAGGAATCAGATCAAACATAGTTCCCCTTTTAGGAATAATAAATTTTAATAAGAAAATAATCGAGGCTGACATAGGCTGCCTACATATCTCATATTTTAGAAATCAGGTCAGACGTAGTTCAATACGATATAAAAGCTTGACATAAGCAATAACAAGCAAATACAATGATTACAAGGAAAGTGATGAGAGAAAATATGATCTTCTAACAAAGTATCTTGAGACAACATTCGAGTTAATTGGTTTTGGCCACTCCTGGCCATCCAATTCTGACAGGATCAACACACCTCTAGATAACACTTTACGAACCATCTATGGTCCTTCCCAATTTTGCGCTAATTTCCCCTTATACTCATCTTAATGGGGGAAGATGCGTTTGAGAACAAATTGTCCTTCTTTAAATATAACATTGCGAAAGTCTATGACCTTAATTAGAGCCTCACATGTTTATCTAAGGTTAGTACAATGTCATAAGGCCTAAAATAATTTTAATAAACCATTTAGGAAGTTTTGGAGTCAAGACATCAAGAAACGTCCATGACATCCGTAAACTAGTGCAATCTAAGTAGTAAAACGTCCTTAGGTTTTAGGAAGGTTTGGAGGTGTTGTATGAGGTATAAAACTTGTAAAATGACTTTAAATAAGTAAAATAATATATATAGGGTTAAAAATTCTAAGTCTGACCCCCCCAAGGGTAACCCAAGGGGTGTACGAAAGGACCCCAAACATGGCTTGGCAAGCTGCCTAAGAAGCAAACAAGTTACACTTAGCAGAAACATGTACGCTCGCGGACTTGGATGGACATTGGTCAAAATTCAAGTCTGCGTCATGGACTCCACTTTTTCAAAAAATAATTTAGAAAATCTTGCGGGAGAAGCTCCGCATCGCAGACTTGTTCCCCAATGAAAATCTGAAATTTGGAATTCAAGATTGACTTCACTAAAGGGTCAAATTAAGTGAGGGGTCTTTTGGGTATTTTTTGGGAGGTCTAGATATTGATTTTAATCAGTTTTTCCTCACAGTTACTCACTCAAATCAAATCCCCAAATCAAAACCCAAATATTCTCACCTCTCTCAACTTTCTGTCTCTATTCAACCTCCATTGAAGAAAGAACAAAGCTTGAAGAAGAAGACCAATTTCTCTAGGATTTCACTTGTATTTCTTGGATTAATCTTTATTAAGGTATGAGTTTTTGACTCTTGGAGTTCATTTCCTCAAGAGGTCTTCTCAAAGTTGATTTCTAAAATATCCAATTCCAAGGGTTTTTCTATTCTAATAGGTTTTCTTCTAAACATCAAATCAATGGTTGATTATGATTAATTATTATTTACTATGAATAATTAAGTGTATATTGTTGGGTAATTGACGGAATTTCATGTAGATCATGTCCTTTCCCCAAATTCCCCAAATCTTGGGTCTTGCTTATGATTTGATGGGAATCAAAGAATGTATTGATTGTTAAACTTATTTTTATCTATTCTAATTCATTCATGGACTCCCTAGGGTAATTTATTGTTGTGATTGAATCTATTTCTTGAAGAATTCATGATGAACCCTTTTCCCCCTAACCTAGGTTATGAATTCAAGTTAATTAGGATAAATTGATTTTATTATTGTGTTAATTATTATTGTGGGATGATACTACATCCATTATTGGGTTGAATTTGATGGTTGATGGTTAAACCTTGATGATCGATTGTAAAGGAGATTGGGATAGGTCTTGTTATCTCAATCCTTTACTTAAATTATGATTACTTGTGTTTAGTGAGGAAGTTGATTGAAGTATACCTTATGATAAGATTGCTTAGGGTTGGTATGATGTTTAATTGGAATGTCTTAAATTATGACTTGTAAGTTGTTGGCTATGATTTAATTATATAAGGATGGGGATGATATACGTATGTGCCTTATCATGATGTAATTATGAAAATATGCTAACCTCATATGTGTGAATTGTACTCAAAGGACAATACTCATGCAATTCCTGTTGAGCTGTGATGATGATTATATAAGGGATGAACCCTATGGCCTAACTTAATCTTTGATGATTAATAAAGTCTTAAAGACATTTCAAAAAGGATTATAGTTTAGCACCGAGTGAACTTGTAGTTGAGGGGTGGCACCTTCCCAAGGAGGGAAGGTAGGGTTCACCACGGTTCTCATGTGGTGGATAGCCTCATTATACAAAAAGGGCATAGAGTGATGTTCCCATGAAATCCCCAAGCTCCATAAACTATGTTTCAACCATAGAAATACTAGCTAGTGGATCCACCTAGATGTTATGTTCACGTTTGGTCGTACTTTGGTTGGTAGTCCACCTTCCATCGGTGTAACATTTTACAATGCCGGATTCTACACTTGTTCTTGTGGTCTATCTTTTTTAAGGCAAGTATTAGCTAAAGTAAAATAAAGTAATGAATTAAACACTAAGTAGGGTGAATTAAGAGGTTTGACTTAGCCTAGGTAGGGGTATCAGACCTTACCTATCCCTTGCACTAGTTTTACTTAAGGGAAGACTTGGGATGTTGTTCTTATGTTCTTATGATATTATAAAGTGTCTATTATGTATATATTGACCTTAAATATTATTGATTCTTTATGATGTTAGTTTCACTTATGAACATGTTGTTGGTCTATATTTCTAAAATATGAGGAAGGTTACTCTTGATGCTATGTTATGTGAAGTTAGGCGTTTCTTATGGTCCTTTGTTTGGTTTATTGATTCAGTAGGGTTATGGGGATTTACTTGGTCATTTCACTTGTAGGAGAAATGATGGGTTATGGGTAAGGGTCTTGATTATGTTATGATATTATGAACTCTTATAGGTATTGACTTGACTATACTTGATGATCTTGGTCTTGTGTTATATATGGCCTTGACTTAAGAGTTATGTGTTCATTGGGTTATGTGGGTTCTTGGATGTGCATAAAGCTTTTTAAAGTAAATTAGCATTTTTTGAACAAATGTCCTCTTTAACATGGCTTCAATTGTTTTATGTGCATATACTAATACTTAGCACAAGTGTGTACTAACCTATGTTCTATGTTTACTACAAAATATATGGTCCAATCGTTGAGATTATAGAAGGACTTTAAAGACTACTTGGATATTCCAAAAGTGTTCGGTAGTTCCTTACTATCAAAGGACGATGCCACTATTAAGCTATTGATATTGTTCTAATTATAAGACTTCGAGTTATTTCCTTTGATTTAGAGGCGATTGTTATATAATCCTATATGAGGCTCTTTTTTGTAATGAAGTATGGTTTAATCCCAAATTTCTTTATCGTTTTAGATGGTTCTAATATGAGACGTATTATAGACTTCCTATGAGATTATGTTCCTATACTATGTCTGTGAAGTAAAAGTAGAAGCCTATGTAGTGCTTCGTATATGGGGAGTCTTTGTATACTCGCTAAATATATATTA